ATAACTGATATGTACTGACTTATTATTCACATGTTATTGGCCTTTTGACTCTTTTTTACTTTTTCACGTTCTCCTTTTAATTTCTTGCCTTGCCTATTTGATTGGCTCTGTTGGGCCTCATGGTGTTGTTGCCTTCATTGTCTTTTTCTAGGATCTTGTTTAGAATTCCTTGTAGTGCTGGTTTGGTATTCATGTAGTTTCTCAGGTGTTCTTTGTCGTGGAAGTGTCTTATTTCCCCCTCCATTTTGAAAGAGAGTTTTGCTGGATACATCAGTCTAGGTTGGAGGTTGTTCTCTTTTAGTACTTGAAATATCTCATTCCAGGCTCTCCTTGCCCCAAGGGTTTGTGTTGAAAAGTCTGCTGTGATTCTGATGGGCTTTCCTTTGTATGTGATTTGTTTCTTTTCTCTTACTGCTTGTAGTATTTTGTTCTTCTGTTGGGTTTCTGGGATCTTGATTATTATATGTCTAGGTGTAGATTTTTTTTGATTGTAGCTAGTTGGGGTCCTATATGCCTCAGTTATCTGAATGTCAAATTCTTCCCCTCTGTTTGGGAAGTTTTCTGTCATTAATTCTGCAAACAGCTTTTTTAAGTCATTTGTATTTTCTCCTGCTACTTCATGTATTCCTATCAGTCTTATGTTATTCTTCTTTGCATCATCTAGGAGTTGTTGGATCGATTTCTCATGATCTCTTACTGTTTTTAAGAGACCTCTCTTTTCATGGTCACTGACTGCAATCTTATCTTCTATATCTGAGAGCCTATCTTCGCATTCTTTTATTCTGTTGCGTACACTTTCAATAGAGTGTTTAATCTCCTGGATATCTGTTTGAATCTGTTTTATGGATTCCATTTCTTTCCTATGTTGGGCGTTTATTTTTTCCATTTCTTTCTTATGCTGGGCCTTCATGGCTTCTATCATGGTCCTGAGCTCATCTATTTTTTTGTCAGTTTCTGCTCTAGAGTCTCGAATCATGACTTCCATTTTGCTCACTATCTCTATGGTTATCTGGGAAATTATTTCTGTTTTGAATTTTTCTAGAGCCTG